CACTTAAGTACAACTTCCTTTACTTCATCAAACCCTCTGTATTTATTAAACACGATACATTTGTAATCACCATTGATAACCAAAGGCGTGCAAGGCCGCAGTAAAGGTGTAAGTGGAAACGTGTCGGGCATTAGCGGAGCCAGTGTGGGGGGGGGGGGCACGTGCCCCCCCCAATGATCCGATCGAAATCCCTCATTTCGATCGGATCATTGGGGTTTATTAGTAATAAATCAGCATTTTGCGACCCCCACTGCCACTGTGTAGCATATTATTACGTGCCAGGGACTCTATGAATTGATAGGACAATAGTCTGAGTCCATAACTGGCGATAAGTAACGGCAAAGCGGTTCTAAGTGACTCACATAATCGTGCGCAGTTGTGTATCCAGTCCACGACTTCCCTGAAGGCATCAACACCTTCAGCGAGCGCGATGCCGATCACACAACGCGGTTCGCAATTCGACTCTCGATCGATGGCTGCGTCATCGCCGCACATGCGTCGAATAAAAAGCAAGGGACAAGTCCTCACTAACAACTCCTTACTAACAATTCCTTACTTACTAACAAGTCCTTACTTTCTAACAACTCCTCCGTCATTTTTCATTACTGGAGGGGTTGCCCCCCCCCCTACCTGAAAATCCTGGCTCTGCCATTGGGCACGGGGGTAGGCGGGAGGGACAGCACAGAGCTAGCTGGGGGGGGGGGGGGGGGGCAGGGAGGGTGCCTCTGGGCGGGTGGGGGGGACAGCACAAAGCTAGCGGGGGGGGGGGCTGCCTCGTTAATTGCCCGTCACAGCCACGACCACGCGATTGCGATAGAAACGAACGCCGTGGGCGAGCGGCACGTGGGACGGACACGGCGCGGAGGAAGAATCGCGTGGATTTGTGGATTGGTGTCAACTCCGTCCCGACCACGTGCCACTGCTGCACGTCCTGGGGAAACATTCCATCATTAGGGGCCGTCCATAAATGACGTCACGCGATTTTTGACGATTTTTGACCCCCCCCCCCTCGTCACACGGCGTCACAAAAATTCAGACCCCCCCCTCAAATATGACGTCACAAATCTCTGCCCCCCCCCCAAAACAAAACATGCTTCAAATCGCTTTAAACTATTGTCATTGTAGTGCGTATTTAAAATGGCGCTGCACTCTGATGTTGTAGGAGAAAACATTTATCAAAAAGTCTATTTAATTAAGTAGAACGTGTTGTCTATATTTATTTAAAGTTGCGCATTTTGATGTGACGTCACATTTCTTAAACACCCCCTCTCGTTACACATCGTCACAAATGTCTGACCCCCCCCCCCCCAGGTGCGTGACGTCATTTATGGACGGCCCCTTAGCATTGTCAGTGGCGGCTTGTGTGTGCGCGTGTGCAAGCGTCAGCATCGGGAAGACAAAGGCGGCCGGGCGTGGTTATGGCCACTTTGCCCCGATCGTATCCCGTAGCGGCTTACATCGGTTCTCGCTAACTGCACTTGCCTCAACAGTCTGTTACAGGCTATACGGGGGATCTTTGTCTTTGTTGTCAGTCTGTGACTCCCCACTGCTGGACAGAGCCCCCCCCCCCTCCACTCCCTCCTCTCCCCAGCTGCCCCAGGCCAGTCGTGACCTCTGAACTCTGCTGCTGTCTCCTCTGCTGCTGTCTCATCTGCTGAGAGTTGGTGTGTCCTCTCTCTCTCCCCCCATCAGAGCTGACGTTTGATCGCAGCCCCCCATGAATTGATTCATCTTTATGGTTGGTGGTGGTAGTGGGGGGGCACACGTTTGGGCCGTGTGACTATTTTCTCAAGGCCACCACGTGGGGCAGTCGGGTAGCGATTGTGGCGGAGGATGGGTCGGGGTGGGGGGGGTTGTGCAAATGCAACAGCTGCTGTCGCTTAGTGGCAAATTGCCGTGAAAATCCACGAGAGAGAGAGAAGAAGAAGAGAGAGAGAGAGACGGTGGCGATGATGTGTGGCCACGGGATGTGTTAACTACAGTCGGCTGGGATTTTTTTTGTTTAACTCTTCCCAATCTTGATTGTAAAGCTTTCGCGACTGCAGGAATCCATAGTCTTTTTTTATTCTTTCGGTAAAGTCACGTAGGTAGAAGAAAAAATAATAATACATCACGACGTTTCGATCGCAACACAAGCAACCTTCGTTAGGTGTGAAACAAATAGCAGGAGGACTTCCCAATTCCTGGATATATCTGCTCGCTCAGTCGTGGTCGCTAGCTTCTTCATTCTCTCACTCGTCTTTCCGTCCACCCACCACCCCACCATCTATCTCACTCTCACTCTCTCGAGATCAGCGACTCACAGCTGCTGGGGGTTCGCTATGATTGCGATGCACGCGTCGCTTGGAAGCTGTTGCATCTCGATCCTGTGTGGTCCTGCTGGTGATGGTTGTTGTTGTTATTGTTCGGAATAAGAATATGTATTTATACTGGCAGAATCTGATGAGCTATGAAGCTCTTTTTCACAGATGTCCATTTGGGGACACGGGGTCAGACGGTTACGACAACAAACAATCTAAAAAAAAAACCGCGATCGGAGTGAAAAGTATAGGAAATGATAACAAATCACTTTAAAAAAATATATATACATATAAAAGGAAACTATTTTTTTATATTACAAGGTGAGGTCCACTGAGCAATGTAACTTATTTTTCAGAAACGACCTGGCCACAAATATAGCTCAACGAGAAGTGGCTTATCGTCACGTGGATCATTTTGTTGTTGTTGTTGTTGTTGTGGCTGTGGAGGGGGGGGGGGGTAAAGTAAATATAAATATTCACAAAAAACAAATTCAACTTCATGAAGTTCCATTCGCAAGAATCCCGCTCCGCGAGATCGGAGGTCATTTGATTGACGGAGGCCGCGCTGCGTTGAGAATTCGCGAGGCAGCGGGTTCCCACACTCCAGTCCTCGCGGCCCCACCCCCTAACTCATCTCCACCACCGCCACCACGCTCCGTCTCTCCGCCTTCACCCATTTAATCTTCGCCCATTCAAGTACAAATTAAACTCGGTCTCCACGCTGCTGCACGCGCCCGATGATTGTTAAATACGTCACCACGTGACGCGCCAAGCGTCACGTCCGTCACTCCCCGCACCCACCTCTCCGCCCCGGCGAGTCGGATATGCGACATTACACCCGAGCAGACGTGCTGACGTTGGTTGCAACGTTGTTGACATGTGGGTCGAACCGTTGGACCAACGTGGCCCCAACGTTTTGATTTTCCACTGGGGTTACATCATCCCATAAAAGACGCACGGGAAAAACCAAAACAGCGGCGATTCGCACGATAGCTGATGTTTAATTTGCGTGCAGGTACAAAGTTCGCTGGCTCCAGTTTTAAATGTCCTTTGGGTATGGGTTGCCGTGACTCAACAAACCCGGGGCTCTGGAGAGAACAGACTGGCTGACTGACTGTCGTCACTTCACATTCCTTTAGAGGGAGCTGGAGGATGAATGGAGAGCGGGGAGTGGCGGGGTGAGCGTCTGTGTGTTCACAAGTGGGGACTTGCCCAATCACCGGTACCAGCGGTGTCGAGATCGCCCCCTTTGGAGCAGGAAGAGGAGGAGGAGGCTCGTGAAGGACGCTACCGGGCAATTTCAGGAGCAGTCGCTCTCAAGCAACAACAGCGGAGGGTAGAGGAGGAGCTCACCACAACGAGCGGGGCGCCGGGCGGTTAAACGGTTGCGAGGTGGCACAGTGGGGGGAGGAGGGGGGGGCACAGGTGGTGCATTTGCCATTCATCTCAGTCAGTCAACACATAACAGCGCCATTCATACCGAGGCCGTCTCAGAGTGCTTTGGAAGCGATAATCCACTTAATAGGGTCGGGTTAGCGAATGTGGTGAAGAGTTGGGGATAGGGTCTGGTTAGCCAATGTGTTCAGGGCGAGGGATAGGGTCTGGTGAGCGAATGTGGTGAAGAATAGGGATAGAGTCTGGTGAGCGAATGTGGTGAGGGCTCGTGGTAGGGTCTTTGTTAGCTCGTGTTATCACCCGAAGTAAACGCACGTGTGTGACGGGGCAACGATGTATCCCCTACAGATGCAATAAGTGGAGTCCACATTTGCGATACTGCCTTCTCGGGGCGAACCAGGGTATGGAGTTTCACGCCATCTCTGTGTGATCCACCAACCCTGGCCACTGCCTCCGCAGTGCTGGGTTACAGGTCGCGTACCCAGTCTCCAAAATTATCACAGTAGCGGCAGGGTTTGTTTAAGGGAAACACATCACTGGAACAGTTTTCCATATTCTGGGTCTCATCAGCAGGAGTCTTAAATGCATGCTGCTGGGTTACCAGATCTTATCGGAAAGAGCTCTCCACGCAAACTGTGAAAAAGTCTAAGTGGTTGCTTGCTCAAATGAGCGTGTAGGTCGTCCTCATCTCTTCCACAGGGCCTAAGCCAGTGGTGGAAATTCCACATTCCTATGGTGGGGGAGAGTCTATCCATAGGACTACCCATTGTTCATTTCCCTGACACAACGTGGTACTAACTTTATCGACCCTGGAGGGATGATGATGATGATGGACTGAGTCATCCGATTGCCCTCCCGGCTTGGCCACCCGGCTTGGCCACGTAGGCCGGGTGTCTAACCCACGTTTGTCCCGTCCAGTGTGGTTGGTTGGTGGGACAGGAAGAACGGGAAAACGTGGTTCTTTAAAAAGCGACGGAAACAAACCCGAGGGCAATTCTCGGACAAGTCCACTGAGCCGCGCGTGCGAGGGGGGACCTCGTGCGTGCAACAAACAAACTTCCATTCCCCTCTCCCACTCGCACAAGCCCTCCCTTCCCACTCACTCACCCCGAATGCAGCAGAGTCCCAACTTGGCACAGTCTAAAATGCTTTTGACATCACTTTGTTTTACCCCCTCCCTCCCTCCCATAAAAAAAAGGTTGTGCCTGTGTGGGGAGAGGTGGAGGGAGGAGGGGCAGGGTGGATGATGGTGTGTGCATGCAGGTCGTGGGAGACTGGATAATGTGGTTGGTGGTGGTTGTGGTGGGGGAGGGAGGGAGGGGTTAGTAAGCGTTGACACTGCAGCAGCAGCGGCGTCGGCGGAGTCGCACTGGAAAACGAAGTTAGTTTAGTTCGGCCCCGGGAGTTTGTGAGTTTCACTCCTTCACTGTTCACCTCGTCAACGCCGGTGGTTGTGTTTTGTTTGTTTTAAACGAGGGCGCGGACGAGGGTTCGGACTCCATCACGGCTCCCTCTCTCTCTCTCTCTCGCCCTCTCTTAATGGCGAAGGAAACAAAGGGAGCTTAAGGGACGTCGTGTGGCCGGGTGCGGGGAGAGGCTGAGAGAGAGAGAGCCTTGAGGGAGACTGAGAAGACCCAGAGATACTTTGCGGAGACTGTGGTACTTGCTGGGAGGAGCGGCACTGCGAGTCTGAGAGAGAGAGAGACGAGAGTTGAGAGCCCCCTTTGGCGCGTGCGTTCAGCTGCCATCAAAGCGTCATGATTTCTTCAACTCTCGCGCGCCGCGCAGCTCGACAGCCGCCACCGAGCGTCTTCTCCACTGCTGGATTATCGTCGGCGAGTTCAGCAGAGCCCGGACGTTCTCGACTGGGGTGTTAAAGACAACAACAACACAAAACACATCGGGCACTCTGCTCAGCGGGGCATGCTGGACACCCGGGCGAGGTGGATAACTCTCAGCACGACGACTGAGAGTCGCAGGGTGACTCGAGCAGGAGTAGGAGGAGACGACTCCCTGAGTGGTGTTGGAGCCTCCAAGAAGATTTTGAGATTGTTCTTTGAGGAGGCTGGACGACAGCTCGGGGAGAGAGACGGCGAGAGAGAGAGAGACGGGGAGAGAGAGAGAGACGGGGAGAGAGAGAGGGAGACGGGGAGAGAGAGAGAGACACGGAGAGAATTGCAGCGGATTTTTGCTTGAGGAGTTGGGAGAGGTCATTGCAGAAGTTGGTTGTTGACGGAGAGTTAGGAACCGAGGGAGGGAGATACAAGGAGCAGTGAGAGAGGGTGGACGAGTAAGAAGGTGAGGGGAGAGGGGTAGTGAGGGTGGACGAGTGACGCACGGTGGGTGGAGAGTGACAAGAGGGAGTCTGAGTTGTTTATTGTGAAGTTGTTGGTCGAAAGTCAATAGCAAACAATTAAATATTAACTCGCCTTGATTGTCATACTTTGTTTAACTTTACTGGCAGGAGGCAACCAATAATTAATTGTACGCGGAGTGATTTTTGGTTTACAAATTAGCTTCACCTCTTTGCCTTTGGCGAGCTACCGCAGGTTTATTTTTTACGGGATTATTTTTTTGAGGGTGGCGTTCGGGGGGGGGGGGGTGAAGTAAAAAAGGGGGCAGGAAATCCCAAATCCGTGGCTCAGATTTACAACAAAACACCACCACGTGGGGCCTTCCTTGCGCCGATAGCCTGAGCCAAGTGATTTCTCGCTGGGCACAACTCGGCAGGGCGAAGATATTTCACTCTGAGGGAGGTTCGGAGCGGGAGGAAAATAGACGAGGTGAGAAAGAGGTGGGATTGGGGGGGGGCGCAGGGGTTGGTGTATTCTCTTTTTAATCTCCACTGGATTTGGCCAAAGAAAATATCCGGCGTTAAAACCGTCACCGATATATCAGGATATTGATTTCTTGACCGGAGGAATCCGATGAGCCATAAAGTTTTTTTTCGCAGTTGTCCAGTAAGACGACGCAGGGACACACGGGACTGAAGAGGCGCTTCATACGAAGAGGTCTTAAGACGACCAGAGAGTTACTTTGGATTGCGAGGAGAGGGACCGGACGAGAAGTGGAGAGACGGAGGGGCAGAGGGACTTGAGGAGAGCGAGAAGGGAACAAATCGCACAACGATTCGAGAGTCACGATGGAGGAGGAGGCGGCGGAGAAGGTCGATACTGGCGATGAGTCCTCCGCGGCTGTTACGGCTGAACCTCCAACAGAAGGAGGAGGAGCAAGTTCGGATAGCAAGCAACTCATGGACGACATGATGGGTGTCCTGGTGAGTGAGAAGTGTTATTGTGTGTGTGTGTCGACCCCGAAATAGGTGCTCGCTAACAGCACTTGTCCCAACAGTCTATGCGGTCCACACTACTGGAATCTTTTGCTTTGTTGAGTGGATGGCTCGGCTGAATCCCAGCCAGGGTAAATTGTTTGCATGCCACTGGTTCACAGCTGAGCCGCTGTCATCACGGCCGTGTCAGCGGGTGGCGGTGGAGGGGTGCGGAGCGGTGGCGCAGTGGTTAGGTCGCCGCGCTGCGAACCCGGCGTCTCGAGTTCCATTTCCGCTCGTGGCCCCAGCAGCACGGGCGACTATTATCTGAACCGATCCTGCGCCTCCCCCTAGATCGACTCAGCCTCAAATGAGTAACTGATGCGGTGTGTAAACATCGCTACTGGGGAGACAAAGTCGGCCGCGCGTGGTGCTGGCCACCCACCCCCTCGTGTGCCGTGCCGGCCTTCGGGGGTGCTCGCTCGTGAACAGTACGCTGGACAATAGGCTTTTAAATGACTATACGGAGGATCTTTGATTTAAAGCTTTCGTGACTGCAGGGATTCATATTCTTGGTTCTTTCGGTAAAGTCACGTAGAAGGGAAACAATAAAATGATAAAAATATAAAAACAATGCAATTATCACGACGTTTCGACTGCAACACAAGCAATCATCAGGTGTGAAAACCACAGCAAGAAAATTGATTGCTTGTGTTGCAGTCGAAACGTCGTGAGAATTTGATTGTTTTTCTATTTTTATTATTTTATTGTTTCCCTTCTACGTGACTTTACCGAAAGAACCAAGAATATATATACGGAGGATCTTTGTTTTTGGTGGAGTGGATTGGGTCAGTCCAGTTTCGACCTCTGAGCTATAAAGAAACCGGGATGTATTCGTTTTATTCTCTTTGGTTATTTCAGTAAAGTCAGGTAGGTAGAAAAATACAAAATAATAGATTACGACGTTTCGATCGCAACACAAGCGGTCGTCCTTCAGGCGGAAAAAAATATCCAGTAGTGGGACTGCTGAACGAACGAGAGAGCTGTTACAACAAGAGGTTATATTTTACTTTAATATAATAATAGGGTTTTTTCCCTTTTTTCTGGCAACAAAACTGAAACCGTTTTACAAGGATTCATGTCTGCATTAACCACAATACCTGCAGTCAAAATGCAAACAAAAAACATACTATGATAATATATGCATTGTCCTTGAAACTGATTGGTCCACACCAAGGGACGGCTTTCTTTTGAGCCTCGACCCAATTGGTGCTCGACCAGATGACGCCAAAAGGCGCTTACACAGCTCAAAGACAATGCCACTATCAAAGTAATGAGGGCTCGGGGTGAGCATCTACATCATTAGACCTCCTTTGCCAGTACCAAAATGTAATAATAGGGTTTTCCCCCTTTTTTTCTGGCAACAAAACTGAAACCTTTTTACAAGGATTCATGTCTGCATTAACCACAATACCTGCTTTCAAAATGCAAACAAAAAACATACTATGATAATATATGCATTGTCCTTGGGTCGAGGCTCAAAAGAAAGCCGTCCCTTGGTGTGGACCAATCAGTTTCAAGGACAATGCATCATATATTATCATAGTGTGTTTTTTGTTTGCATTTTGACTGCAGGTATTGGTTAATGCAGACATGAATCCTTGTAAAAAGGTTTCAGTTTTGTTGCCAGAAAAAAAGGTTAAAAAACCCTATTATTACATTTTGGTACTGGCAAAGGAGGTCTAATGATATATTTTAATTTGTTATATTTTACCAGGTAAGGCTCACTGAGCTGTATAGCTCGTTTTGAGAAGCGACCTGGCCACAAATAATAGCTCAACGAAGTGGCGTATCACGTGAACATATATAGCAGCCAAATACTCTAAACGCGTGTTGATTTAAAATGTGCAGGGGAAAACCCGGAGGACCCGGAGAAAAATCAACGCGACCACGGGGAGGTAACACGCACACTCCAAAACCACTGCAGGCGTCAGGGTCGGGATCTAACCTACGACCTCCTGCATACCAAGCGAGGTAGTTAACATCTCCTAGCCACCGCGGCGGGTTGTGGAGGTGAGAATATTTTATCAGCAGTGGAAGAGAGAAGGCGATGCTGACCATCATCATCATTGTAACGCAACTGACAAAACGCAAACCGAGACGAACGTGAAGAGAGAGATGTCCTTTTGGTTATTTGTTACTGAGAGAGAGGGATAGACGGAGGCAGGCATACACGAATAAGACTTAAATTTCGATTTAAAGCTTTGGTGACTGCAGGGATTCATATTATTGGTTCTTTCGGCAAAGTCATGTAGAAGAAAAGTAAAAAAATAATACAAATATTTAAAAAACGCCACTTTTTTTTACAAATTTTCTTGCTGTGGTTTTCACACCTGATGATGATTGCTTGTGTTGCAATCGAAACGTCGTGATAATTTTATTGTTTTATTTGTATTTTTATTATTTCCCTTCTACGTGACTTTACCGACAGAACCAAGAATACGAATGAGACTTAAACCAGAGCAGAGAGAGATGTATACACGGAGTCGAGAATCGAGGTCATGATTCAATCCGGGAGTGGATGGAGGTTGTTTCTGTCTTCTTGGATCCGTCTCCTTGGTATTGTTCCTCGTCTGAACTGATTTTCGTGCTTGAGTTTGATGTAACCCCCACGCACCCCCAGCACCTCCCATTAGCACGGCCGGCTACGTACGGTGCGAAAGAAGTTCAACACACAGCTTTGGTTGGCCACATCGTGAGCCCAATTTGCATCTCGTTTTGCATGTCTTAATCTAATCTAAACTCGCGTAAGTCAATGTTTGTATCATCACCTTAACCATAGACTTTAATTGACGAAGTGGACCCCATTGGCAGAGATAAAGGTGCAGCCCTGCAATGTCTTTGCTCACGCCACTGCTGGTGGAAGAGAGGTGCGAGTACCCACACTTTACCCCACCACACGTAACCTCCCGATCATAGCCAAATTGTGGTTAACCCCATTGGCTGAGTGGGCAGTGGTGTTGGTGGTGGCGGTGGTTGTGGTGGTGGTTGTGGTTGTGGTGGTTGTGGTGGTTGTGGTGGTGGTGGTTGTTGTGGTGGCGGTGGTTGTGGTGGCGGTGGTTGTGGTGGTGGTTGTGGTGGTGGTTGTGGTGGTGGTGGTTGTGGTGGTGGTGGTTGTGGTGGTGGTTTGTGAACTCGCCCAACCGATTTTCTTCACCTGCCTGCCGCGCCAGGGGAGATGGGAGTCGAACCTGCGCCCCCTTCTCTCTGCCGCGCTGCTCACCGCTTACAACGCCACCACCGTCTGCGACAGCCATCCGTATTGTATCGGTAGCCAATTAAAACGTTGGGCAGAATTGATGGATCGTAACCGGCCTTGTGTAGAATCGCTACCCCGAGGGGGTATATGGGATGGATCGTGCAATTTGATTTACCCCTCCCCTCTCGACACCCCCTCCCTTACCCTCCCCCCTCCCTACCCCTCCCCCCTCCCTCCCCCCTCCCTACCCCTCCCTACCCCTCCCCCCTCCCTACCTCTCCCCCCTCCCTACCCCTCCCTTACCCTCCCCCCTCACTGCCCCTCCCCCCTCACTGCCCCTCCCTCCCCCTCCCTACCCCTCCCTTACCCTCCTCCCTTACCCTTCCCCTCCCTTACCGTCCCTTACCCTCCCCCCTCCCTACCCCTCCCCCCTCCCTACCCCTCCCTTACCCTCCCCCCTCCCTACCCCTCCCTTACCCTCCCCCCTCCCTTACTGCCCCCCCCTCCCTTACCGTCCCTTACCCTCCCCCCTCCCTACCCCTCCCTACCCCTCCCCCTCCCTTACCCCTCCCCCTCCCTTACCCCTCCCTTACCCTCCCTACCCCTCCCCCTACCACTCGTTTATGTGGGCGAGGTGGGGGGGATCAGCAATCCCTGCAAACCACGTGCTCGCGGTTCGAGTGCCAGCCGCGCTGTGGTTGTTGCGGGAGCCGAGTCACAGACTCTGAGTGATTATAATTATGGGAGAGCATGGGAGGTTATTAATCACGGTTGAGGGACGTGTGTGTGTGTGAGAGAGGAGACAACGAGAGAGTGAGTGAGTGACGGAGAGTTGTTTACAGAAGGAGCTGAGACGCAATTGTAGAGATACAGAGACGGACGGAGGCAGAGAGAGACCCAGAGAAAGAGAACTAGAATCAGAGAGATGATGAGACGCGAGCAGAGGGTCGAGAAGGACGTGTAAATAGTGGTGGCCCGGAAGGAGTGTTTGTCGAGACCGAGAGACAGAGGCAGAAAGACAGAGAGAGACACACGGGAGAGGCGTAGAGAGATGTGAGTATAAAACAAAAACAGAGGGACAAAGCAACAAAGACAGCGAGGCATAAATACAGCGAGACAGACGAGACACGCACAGGGAGACACGCACAGAGAGACCGAGAAACACACGGTGACAAGACAGAGACGCAGAGACACACAGGGATACGAGACAGATTACATGGACACAGACGGGCAGGGAAAACAAATATACGCACAGACAGACAGAGAGACAAACAGACAGAGAGACAGACAGAGAGACAGAGAGACAGACGGAGAGACACAGAGAGAGACAGAGAGACACAAACATTGCACGGAGACTTGCAGGACTATGGGACGCGTTTGTGAGCAGATGGGGCTCCTGGTGTGAGTAGTGAAAGGGGGGTGGTGGATGAGTGGGGTGGTGGTGGTGGTGAGGGTGACGTGAGTGAGTGAGTAATTGGTGGCATGAGTAGGGATGGTATTTAGGGCAGTGCAGTGGTATTTAAGGCGGCGGTGGTGGTGGTGATGATGCAAGTAGAGAGTGCAGAGCACGGCACTGTGATTAAGTTGGTGGTTTGGGGGTTGGCGAGCGTCAGTGGTGTTGAATCTGTGGGGTGGGCGAGTGTGCTGGTTGAGGTGTAGTGGCGGGAGCGACTTTGCCCGCTTCGTCACTGCTTTACTGGGGGGGGGTTCAGAATGTTTGCCACTTGTTATTGTCCGAGGGCAGGAATCA